TTCAAGATCATCAAACAAATTGGTGATAATGCCTTTCAACTTGAATTACCACCATACATGCATATGTACTCGGTCATCAATGCCGAGAATCTTAAGCTTTTTGAGCCATCTCTACTTGATGATGATCCCGACGAAGACATTCGGCTTCCATCAGTTGATGACTTAAAAATTGAACTAGAAGACCCTTTGCTGAAGGATTGTATCTTGGAGCAGAAGGTTCGTGAGACCCGACATGGAAAGTATGAGTATTTTCGTATTGGCAGTAAAGGGCAACTTCCCAGCAAATCGAAATGGTATATTCGAGACAAGGCTACTCAAGAATTTCCACATCTCACCATTTAACTTGAGCAGGAGCTCAAGGTCTTAAATGGGAGAGCCATGATCCAGGTGGATCTTTTCAAGATAATTAAATAATAAATATTAATTAAATTAAATAATTTATCAACCATTCGACTCGAATGGTTTAAGAAGAAATGGTTCTGAACCATTTAAAAATTAATGGTTTGAATTACCTAAAGAATTTAAACCATTTAACATTTGTGGTTTAAATTCATTTATTATTTTTAGTTTTCTATTCTAGGCATTCAGGCTTGTATATAAACCATTGTAGTTGAATGAATTAAAACAGGCAGAACTCAAAGCAGTTCCTTAGCTTCTTCCTTTTGTTTCTCTAAATTGTCTTAAAATTCCTCTCGTTCCCTTATTCCTATAAACTAGGAATTCATAGTTCTATCGACTAGAAGTTCTGGATCACGGAGCCTTCAGGAGAAGCTATGTGGCTTGTAGTTGTTGGTTTCTGGTAGTGCTGACACAACACTGGAATCAGTGCAAGATTTTCAAATTTTTTTCATTCTTGCGCTGACGTCAGCTGCACGAAGGCAATACGATGGGCTAGATCTCCTCGTGGGTCCCACGCATTGCCTGGACTAGGTCTTGCGGGCTGGAGTTGCCTTTCGGACCTAGAGCACCCTCCTACCTGGGTTAACCCCTTGCACTAGACTTGCTCTAAGACAGAAGAATTAGCATGTCCTTATTATGTGAACTTCATTAATAAATTTTTACTTTGTACTTGTGGAGGCCCATAGGCATTTATAAATTAGGATTTAAGAACAAAGGTTCAAGGGATTGTTCCAGCTAATCTTTACCCAAAAAAAAATAATAATAATAAGGGTGATTTTATTGGCACCCCATTAATTACTCTTTACACCCCATACTAATTTTAAATATAAATAACCTATTTTACCCTTGTACACAATTACCATTAAGGACAAAAAAAATTAAAATTAAAATTAAAATTGCTCACTACACCCCACATATGTTCCTGCAACCCTAGTTTGACTTTTTTCTCAAACTATCATGTTCCTAAACCCTAAACCCAAGATTTATAAGTTTATACTGGTGAAAAAATATATTGTATTTATTCATGAAGGGTGAGATTGAAGTTAGAGACGTTTCGAATGAGGTACGAGTTTATTTTTTGGCGTTTTGCAAGTTTAATATTTCATAACGGTCGCTGGTTGTGTTAAGCACATCAGTACCGAACGCGACAGATAATTTCGGTGGGATGCCACCGAAACTTTGCACATTTTTCGGTTGGATTTCACCGGTGAGAAACTTAATATTCGGTGGGGATCCACCATAAGATGGAACGTAGTTCAGTGGTGTACTACCGAACTTTTACCCGTGTTTCAGTGGCATCCAACCGAAATTTATTTATTTTTTCAGTAACTTATTGCCAAACACAAATTTAATCCAAGCTATTTTGATCTTACTCTCATTGAAGGAACAAAATCAAGGTGACGCCCCTACTGAAGGCAACAATGTGGGAACAGAATGTGTAATGGACTATAGTGATCAATTCACAACTTATTCGGTAATTATTTATCTGAAATCCTTTTTAGTATCATTAACGTGGCATTAATGTTTCAAATTTTATATTTAAATAATATGAGTTTTATGTGTAGATATTCAATGGTAGAGATGCATTACTTCGATGGGCTCGTGAACAAGGAAAATTGAATAATATTGTCATTGTAATTAAAAGGTCTGATTATGGAGGTGAGGGCAAGAGGAGACCTTGTGTAATATTTGCTTGTGAGAGGAACGGTAACTATAAGTCTGGCAAGTCTCGTGAGACAACTGATATAAGATCAGATGCAAATAGTGATATGAAAAAATGTGCTAGAGACACTGGTACCAAGAAATGTGGATGCCCATTCTTGTTAAAAGGTGTCAATATTGGTGATGGGGATGATTGGAAGTTGGAGGTGGTTTGTGGAGTACACAATCATCCTATTTCAGAGTATCTTCAAGGTCATTCATTTGTGGGGCGACTTACTGAAGAGGAGAATGTCTTGTTGGTGGACATGTCTAAGAGTTTGGTGAAACCCAGAGATATTTTGGTCACCATTAAAGATAGAGATGCAATGAATGTTTCAACTATGAAGACAATATATAATGCTAGGATCTGAAATAGAACCAAAGAATTTGCTGGGAGAACCCAAATGCAACAATTGCTTACTAAGTTATCCGAACACAATTATATTGAGTGGCATAGGACATCTGG